TGTGGCTGACATGATGGTGAGGATGACAAAACAGAACTTCTTCTAGCCTCTGCACTTTTAGGATGACCAAGCATGGCTTCTGAATAGAAAATGTGGCTTCAGGCCAGCTCTGAGCCACCTTCCCCCTTTATTTTAAAGAGGGCATCATGCCCTAAGCAGCCACTGTACAGGTTGCAATCCACAACTGTACTCAGTACACAACTTGCAACATCAAGGAAACCTCCTGTTTCTGCTACTTATCTGGTAGGAAGTCTAAACATGGAGATACAAGGCAAGGAGACCAAACTGTTCTTAGTTGATAAGCTATGAGTTAAACAGGCCTGCTTGCCCTGAATTTGACGTAGTAAAATACACAGACCTCCTCCTTTTATACTTCATACAAAGAAAGTAACTCACTAGCATTTTTACAGTTTCGACTGCACAATCTGTGGGCTGTAGAGCAGGATGGATTCCTCCCTACTCACCCACCCTCGTATTCATCTCCTGCTATGGATTATAATTTTTTTGTCTCCCTTCCAAGGAAGTATAAAAGGGCTGCCACAGGGTTGCCAGTCTGGGCCTGCCTGCAAACCGCCCTGTTTGTTGGCTCCTTCACCTGTACAGTTACAGAACCATGCATGGGCTTCCTAAGTCAAGAGGAAATTCCTGTTGCGAGTTGACGCATGCTGGATCCATCTGCCTGCCCTTCACCCTGAAGTCTTGCTCTCTGTCAAAGATACTGTGGTGCTTGCATGCACAGAAAAACTCCACACTCTCATCAGAATGTCATTTGAGGGCATCCTAAACTGCAGCCCAGTGCCTTGTAACAGCTGTGTGATCAGCACAAATTCAACAGGTAAAGCCTGATAGATGCAGGATGTGCCCAGATGTGAGCCTGCTTTTGCATTGTGTTGGTGCTCATCCATCCTTTGCTTCTGTAGAACTACAGGGTAGTGCCCAAACAATGAGCTCCTATTAAGTGGTATATTTTGATGCCAGCAAATTACAGCATCATTTTCTCCTGCTAAGTGTTCTGTTGCAAAGGAAATCACCATATGGCATCCAACTGAAACAAGGTGAAATCTCTTTCACCTTGTATATACTTCCCCTCAGCTTCTCTCTTTCCCAACCTTGCTCTGCTTTTCACCTGAACACACCCTGGACCTAGGAATTTGACATGCTTATGTTCTGGCATCAGGTTTTGCTTTCCTAAATCAAGCAGGAAGTCTAGAATTTCAGAATAGTTCAATCAGTTGGGAGAACGGGCCCATATAGAAAAAAATAATATTCCAAAAATGCTGCTTGTTCAAGCCATTGGATCAGGTAATTTTACAGTGAAGGAAAGGTATCATTATTACTAAGGATGCTAAGTCTCCTTGACATGTGCTAAGTTTTGTTCTACGACTTGAAGTGGGATGCAACTTGGGGAAAATTATACTTGATTGACAATATGACCGAGCATTAGGAAATCTCTATTCTCAACCCGGCAATTATAAACTTCAGTGATATTACTCTTTGAGACAAGCAGACCATCCCAATTAGACCATCAGTCCCACAGATACTGCAGCAAGAGACTGAAATTTAATCTGCGCAGAAGGAATAATGCAGATAGGCTCACGCAAAAGCTGTTAATTCTTACACACACTAGTGAAATTGTGCACAAATGTCAACATTGCAAAAATTGAAACACAAAGGTCAACACTGCAGAAATTGAAACAAATCTGTCTGGCAGCGCTCAGTCATTTCTTAATAGTTGGCCTTGCAATTTAAAACAAAAACAAAAACTTATCATACATCTTTCATAAATAAACTGTATCCTGTTATAAACTTTCTTACTGGTTTTAGCCAGGCCTATTGTGCTTGACAAGTATTTGTTGATAAGTTTTTGCACAAGGTTCTGATTTTTTTTTCATCCATAGTATTTTTATCTTGTGGGAGGGGTTAAAGCCTTAATTTTTTGGTTTAAGACTAACTATTTTTCTTTAGTGAGTTTCCATACCATCCATTAGGAAGCATTATTTGCCCTTCATCCTCCTATTACATGAGTAAAGAAAAAGTAGAAAATCTTTTCCAGCACACGGTTGCTTCTCAGCTACCCTTCCTGAGTCTCCCCCAGGCCAGATCCTTCTTTTCATGGAGTTAAGCTGGAGTCCAAGAGTTTTCTGCCCCTGGAGGACAGCACTGATGTGGGCTGGCCCCTGCAGTGTGGGCTCTTGATGGCTGACTGCAGTGTGAGTTCTGCTGAAGATGAAAGAAGGGAAAAACTATAAGTGCCTTCCTTTGGAAACTTGCCATCTGCAAGGAATGTTAAAACAATATCCTTGTATTCTTGCATCTAGAGAGATCTGTCTACGCAAAAGCCTGCCATATTTAAAGTTCACCGGAAACACAATGGCTGACAACAAAGGCACAGGGACCATGATATCCGTTTCCTGCAAAGGCTCCTGGTCCAGAGTGGTAGATTTTCTAAAAGGCGGACTCCAGCTTCCTTGGAAACTATGATTTTCATCCTTACGCTCACTTTCCTCCCCCCAAGTATCAAGGGCATGAGTCAGCTTGGCTTTATCTGTTCAGTGGTGAGGGGAAAACACACTGCACGTACCCAGAGGTACCCTCAACCTTTCAGTTAGGTTATGCATTCCACCTCTCGTGCATGGTTTAATTGGTTTTCCTGCACATTATAGAGGGTAGTTGGTCTGGGTGATCTTTGTGACCTTGTCCAACTCTCCCATTCGATGATTCTGTGACACTCCAGGCCTGACCCTAATGCTCAGTTCATCTCTATGCTTGAAGGTTTTAAATGCTGTCCTATCAACCTTTCCTTGAGGCAAACTGGGAATAGAGAAGGGTGGCTTTGTCTGACCTTCTGTATCTCAATCGTGTGACACCAATCGGGAGTGGAGGAATCCAGGTTCTTCCGCTCAAGTCAAGCGTACACCATGATTTAGGCGACCTTTGGCAACCTCAACTTCCCTTCCAGGAGCCTGGGAGTCCTCTTGGTGGACTGAGATAAGGCTGCAGGGCCAACCCCTCCTCCTCTTATTTAGACCTTCCATCTTTATTAGTTTTCTTTAATCGGTCAGAACAATGAGGCCCCCTGGCTCAAACTTTCCTATGGAAGGAGTCGGTTTCCTTTTTTGGTGCTGTGGAACAAGCCCTATGAACCTCAGCTGCCAAGAGGCAGGCAGGAACGGCTGGGCTGGTGGCTCCACTCCAACGCCTGAGAAAGCACGAAGCTTGTTTAGATTTGACTGAGGGAGGGAGCTGAATCCAGTACACGGAAAATCTGTTTCATTGACAGGAAGAGGGTATCCAGGTTGGTGGGAGGGGAAGGAACTGTACCAGAACATGTCTTGCTGGACATGTTTTTTCTCTCTTCTCTTTCTAAACAAAAGTTCTCTCTTGTTTTGAAAAGACATGGAGACGGGTGGAGGAACTTACTCGTGTTGATCCATCAGGTTGAGATTACGTCTGATTCTCTGTTGCTCTCTCTGCACTGTGCAGGTTCCTGACAAGAGGGCTTGGCAACAGCCTTTCCCAAAATTGGATAAATAGGGCCCAGCAGGGTTCTTCCTCTGTCCCCAATAAATTAAAACTGGAACCCAATCTATTTCCAGCACTGAAATTTATATTTCAGTATAAAAAGCTGTTTTTATTGTGTCTGGGGAAGCATAACTCTTTGGAAATGCATGGATAGACCCATTCAAATTGCTTGCTGGGATCCTGCACTCTATCCCACCAACTAGAAATAGGGTATTTTATTTGGGAAGTGATAATCTTCAGGACACCTCACATGGAGACTTGTTCTGAATTTCCTCAGCCTTTGGAATTTCTGCATTACTTATTGTTACCACCCCTCAATTCACCTTCAATTCTTGGTAAAGAGATCTCTAACATCTTCAAAGATTTCTGTTGACTAACACTGCAGAATCCGTGAGCTGGATCAGGCTGTACTTTCTTCTCTCCCTCCCCTGCCCCAAATCAGACTGCAATATTCTAGAGGTATAAACTCAGAAGTATGTCCTTTCTCCTTAGTAAGTGTGTGTTACAATCAGAGCTTGGACATTTAGGTATTAAGGATTTAAAATATTACTTGACAAAAACTAGTTAGATGAGCTGAAATATTCTGTGAACTGTTTGAGCAGCATTACAGCACCCTTTGTGGCATGCGATCAAATATTCTATGCTTTCTGACCCTGGTATCTCAGTTTTGAACACTCAGGCAAACTAGGGAGCAGATGAGCCACAACTGAGTAGTAGAAGTTCAACTTCTTATCCCAGGCTCTGATTCCATTCTGAAACCACTGGAGAACCACACCCAATCATTATAGAGCAGGTGTGGGCAACCTACAGCCCTCAGACCTTTTATTTGTTGTCCTGAGAAGTCTTGGTGGCATCATTTTTGCTGTTTCTAAGGTGGAAAAGTGTACAGCTGTTGTCAAAATAAATGAAAGGTTTAAAAAGCAAGGGAAACTATCCAGCTACTGTATTCCCCCCCCCAAAAAAAAGAAATCAAATCCTGTCCGTACGATGGGGCTTTTGCAATGCCCCATATAACAATGTCATTGTTCTACCCACTCCATCCTGGAGGCCCTCCTAAAAAGAGTGGTCCCTGCCACCAAAATGGTGCCCACTTCTGGTGTTTTTCTTGTCCTGGCAACTGCCTGGTCAAGTTGGTGCAGTTTTCTTGGCAAGATTTTTGGAAGTGGTTTGGTGTATTTCTGGTGTACTCCACATTATATTAGATGGACCAGAAGAAGCAATGTCCTATATTTTTAAAGTTGTCTTAAAGTCTCAACATCATTGTTTCTCCTGATTTGGAGCCCTCTCCACCAGTTGATGCACATTGACTTGAGAAGAGGACTACAAATCAGGAAAAGTAATGGGAAGACTTTTCCGAAGGCGGTACCATGTTGCATAGCACTAGGCTACTGAGGGTGAGAAAAGAGTAAAAATTATTGTGCTTTGAATGAATGTGCAAAATGACCTCTTATTCCCCAAGGCTCTTCTCTCCTTCATAGGCTATGACTTCCCAGCAGTGCTTCAATGGTTTGCTGAGCGCGTGGACCTCATCATCCTTCTTTTTGATGCTCACAAGCTGGAGATCTCAGATGAGTTCTCAGAGGCCATCCGGGCCCTCAAGGGCAACGAGGACAAGATCCGGGTGGTCCTGAACAAGGCCGACATGGTGGAGACACAGCAGCTGATGCGGGTCTACGGCGCCCTGATGTGGTCGCTGGGCAAAGTGTTCAACACGCCCGAGGTGCTGCGTGTCTACATCGGGTCCTTCTGGTCGGAGCCACTGATGATCTCTGACAACCGACGGCTCTTTGAGCTTGAGGAGCAGGACTTGTTCACGGACATCCAGAACCTGCCCCGAAATTCTGCCCTGAGGAAGCTTAATGATCTGGTCAAGAGAGCCCGTTTGGTCAGGGTAAGTACTGGGAAGCTGAGAGGCTAAAAGGAGAAAGGAAAAAGGTAGGAATAGGGTCCACAAGAAGAGAATTGCAAGAGATCAGTGAGGGAACAGCTGACTGAGTCATTCAGCCTCTGCTCCATTGGGATACAGACCCAATGACATTAAGAATATACTCAGTTCTATTGAAAGAAGAAAAAAAAATAGTATTTGCCCATTAGAGGTTTCCATTGTAGTGATAAATCTTCTACTGCATTATTCTTGACCACTGGTGGAATATTTCCATTCCAATGGAACTGGAGGGCAAAATACATAGTGTGTATTAGGAAGACTTTTCTTCAGCATGTGAAAGATAGATGAAGAAATACAAGGCCATCACAGTAGCAGGAAAACACTGCAATTCAGTTAAAGAAAAAGAAATAGGATAAATGTCCCAGTGCTATGGAGAAAGTGGAAAGATGGTGCCAGTGGAAATACCATGGCTGTAAGCCATGGACCAAAGGAGATGATTGCACTCAGATGGAGCTGGAAAGGAGGTCTTGCCCTCAGAGGGAAGGTTATGCTGCAAAAGTCCATCGTGTTTCTGTGTGAAAAAATGGCACAACAGATACTGTTTTGCAACAGCCTCAGGAGGCTCCTCTATTACAATTGGGACCAGAGAAAGGGGCAGACGTTGCTCCACCACCACTGGAGGCAAATCAGTTAATGGCCCAAGGGAGGCCCAGTTGCAGCAGCCTTGCTCAACGGAAGGAATTTGCATCACAGCAAGGGTTTGTGGGTGAAGGAAGGGGGCTTTCCTGTGCCCAAAAATCTGACTGTAATGGGACAGGGAGATGAAAAAGGAGAGGGATGTTCAGTGTGACGGGGGGAAATAATGGGCATTGCTCTTCTGGGTGTGGCTGCAGAATTTGCTTTCACCCATCTTGGTGACAGAACTTGATGATCTTTCCTTGCCCTTAATTTCCCTGTTGTCATCAGAGCGATAAATTATGTTTCCTTTCTCAAGATTTTTACCTTAAAATAGCCATCTCCGGTGTGGTCCCTTCCAGATGGTACATTAGACTACCATTCCCATCATCTTCTCTTATGCAGAGGCTGATATGGGACATGGATTGTAATACAGTCTGGCAGCCACCAGGATGGAGAATGTTGCTTTTAAAACTCTCCCCTCCCTGGACAAGGGCTTCCCTCCTTCCCATTGGAGAAGGTTGTTGCCGGACACCCAACTTTTACTGCAGCTTTTCCTGTTGTCCACAGTGGCAGGGAAGGACTTCTGCTCCCTCCCCCAAACAATGGCTGCATCCCCACAGAGGAAGTCTGCATTGTGCTTCAGGGTACAATCTGTTTATGGGCTCAGCCCCCTTTTCCTATTTCCCAAACTTTGTCTCTTTCTCTCTCTCTCTCTCTCTCTCTCTCTCTCTCTCTCTCCCTTCTGCTCTGGTTTTCCAATTAAGGGTTTCTAATGAGATTACGCCTTCCGTAGTCCTGATTAAAGGGATGGCTGTTGCTTCGTCATTCCGGGCATTCCTTTTGCAGTGGCTGAATATGGAAAAGCCGGGGAGCAATAGAGGAGCAAGATTGCATCCAAAGATTGGTCCTTAGGATGCATCATTTCCTAGCTGTAACATCCGCCCTTCTCACAAAGAGAACCATCCATCTTTTTGTTCCCTCCAAGGGACATATTGTATCCCTTTGCCAGCCAATTATGAATCTGAGCTAGCTCAGAAAATACCATATGACATGATTCTTCGTAGCAGAATCATAGAAAGATTTTTCAGACTGAGTCAGAGTCTCGACCCATCTAGCTCAGAACTAAGCATTTTCACTGGTGGCTGATCTCCAGGGTTTCAACCTGATCTGGAAGTGCTAGACCACTGTTTTTCAAACTTGGCAACTTTAAGATGGATGGACTTCAACTCAGCATGCTGGCTGGGGAATTCTGGGAGTTGAAGTCCACCCATCTTAAAGTTGTCAAGTTTGAAAAACACTGTACTAAATGTTAGGCACTGTGTACATGGTTTCTAGATAAACTTGGCCAGGCAAGGTCAACAAAGCAAGAACTACAGATTTCTGTAAGGTTTATTTCATGCTAGAATTAGGGGCAAATACAGAATTTTGGAAATTGCAAGAGGAATTTCCAACCCTCGTTTACTGTGAAGTAATTGAAGTAGAGGGTACTTGAATGATTTGAAATGCTTCTTCACAGATTTCTTTCTACCAGGGCTAAGTTACTATTTATGAAATAAGCTGCCAACAGACTCACCCTCTGTCTCTTAAATGTTTGTGTCTGCGTTCTCTTCTCTTCCTTTCCAGCCTCCCCACATTCTCTCCCAATCTCCAAAGTCCTTTCCAACCCTTATATTCTATAACATTATACATCTGCAATTTTAAACTTGTAAACAGTGGAGCCTGTCCCTAAGCTATAGACCAGTGTTTTTCAACCTTGGCACTTTTAAGATGGGTGGACTTCAGCTCCCAGAATTTCCCAGCCAGCATGCTGAGTTGAAATCCACCCAACATAAAGTTGCCAAGGTTGAAAAACACTGCTATAGACCCACCTTCCCCTGCCATTCTTCAGCATTTATTTATTTGTTTGTTTATATTAGTTACAAAGATGCTTCCAGTGAGATTTTTGTTCCTAGCAAATGAACCAAAGAACTAAACAAGAACTGGTCCATTTTGTTTACTGAATTGCAGATAGTTTTATACTTCCTTCATAACAATGACTACATTCAGTGACAATTTCACATGCATATTTCAAATCAGCCACAGACTAATTGTGCTCAAAATGCAGATGCCTACTCAATTAAACGTTATGTAATTGTGAACTGCAATTAACTGGTATAGACCCCTTCCACTTTGTGATTAATTTTGAAAAAGGGCAGATCCAATTTCAGTGCTCCTCATGGTAAGAGAGGGGACATTTCAGCAGAAACTCTCATCAAAGCATTTGGGATTCCTGACAAAGAAATCTCCATGGTCACCCCACCTGATGTATCTTTGTATTTAAGACGGAAGAATTCTTTCTAATGCAAAGCTCCCATACCACCAGTGTTTTTCCCTTTTTTTAAAGTGGACCTTAAATGCAAAGATTCATCTAAGAGCAATCTCAAAACGATGGACTGGCCTTAAACAGGGGTGGGGTGGGAGTGGGGGTGTAGAAATTTGCAGTTTAGGGCAGCCTATCACACTTTGTCCATTGGCAGGACCAGCATTAGTTTTACCACTGTAGTGATCCCAGGCAAGCTCAAACTAGTGATTTGAGGACTGGAACTGGACAATCACAGGGGAGTTGCCTTAGGCTGGAGCATGGAAAGAGTGTTTAGATTTAGATTTAGTATGGAAAGGGGAAGCCAATTTGTGCCATTCTTTTCATAGTCAAAATGTTAAAACATGCCCTCACCTTTTAAAAAATGGGTAGATGTCTCTATTTATTTATTATAGGAGGGTGCCTTGGTTTCCCAGAAAGAGAGCCAGCATGTTGCCCGCAAAAGCACAGGAAGTTTCTGTTTTCCCCATTCTTTCTCTCTCTTCACAAGCTTATCTTTTCCTGTCACCTGAAAGGATGGATTGGTATTTATGAAGGCTCTTCAGTAGCAATTTCCTTCTGTTTTTATTTATTTATTTTTAATTGCCAAGCAGCTGCTTTCTCTCTCCTTGTGGGCTTTCCTTCATCAGAGGTGCAGGGCAGGCTTTACAATCTGATGTATTCCTAAACATTTGTGGATGGGCCTCCTTTACTCTCTTCCTGTTCCCCCCAGCCACAGTTGAGATTCTGCACTTTTAGTTAAGCCTTCACCTCAAAGAGAATGTCATGGAGGTTTCCTTAAGCTCCAAACTATTGGTGATGTTCCTCTGTGCAGGAAAGAGCAGAGGTATAAATCCAGGCAATCTCTGAGAAGGTAATCCTGGAAAAGTCATCAAAGCTGTCTGCTGGCCAGATGTAGGGAAGGAGAGAGTAGAGGTCTTCATTATGGGGAGGCCTGCAGGCTAGAAATATAAGGAACTTCTGATGCTTCTTCATACACTCCCTAATTAAAAACTGGAGGGAATATGCCAGTGTTTCACATACATCTTTACCCATTTGATGCCCACCAAATGTCTTGGACTTCAACTCCCAGAATTCCTGGCAAGTACTTCAGAGAGCTGGAGTCTAACATATATAGAAAAGGTCAGATTGCTGTGAGCCTGAAAGACTGGTCCATGAAGTTCAAAGCAGTATAAATTTGGGGGTTCTGATACCTCTGGTTTCCTTGCCTTTTTAGACTCTGAAAAGCACTCTTCCTTGGCACTTCTTTCTTTTCTGGCCCTGTTACATAGCTTTTCTGTTTTGTAAGGGTTTGGGTCTTTTCCCATCCACTCAACTTTTCATCTTTCAAATTCTTAGATTTCCTAACATTACTGTCTCTGTCTGCCATCAAGCATTGCCCTGCTCACCCTCTGTGGCTTTTCCCTACCAAAGTGAAGTTTCACTTGCCTCACAGAGTCTTCCGGCTGTGTTACCATTTCCTTCCCCAGAACCCCTCTTAGAGGGAGTGGAAACATTCCATGACATCACAGCAAATCAGCCACTAGTGAGCAAGCAGCAGTTCTGGAGACAATCAGCCTTTGCCTTCTTCATACAGATAGACCCCCATTTTCCATGTGCTTTTATCTCAACCATGAGATCAAGGATAGAATGCATTATGCGCACCCTCTGTCCACCTCTCCCAGGTCCACGTCCACATCATTAGCCACCTAAAGAGGGAGATGCCCTCTGTCTTTGGCAAGGAGAACAAGAAGAAACAGCTCATCAACAAGCTGCCTGTCATCTTTGCCAAGATCCAGCTGGAGCACCATATTTCACCTGGCGATTTCCCTGATTGCAACAAGATGCAGGTGAGGACAAGTTGCATCTAATCCCTTTCCCATGACAAGAAACCATGTTAAGGCAACTGCTCTGCCTTGTTCATAGATTTTTTAAATTATTATTACTGGAGTACCTAAATGTCATATTTCATGTTTTTATCCTAGGAACTATAGGGGCCTTTTTCCCAAGAAAAGCACAGCTTGTTTAATCCAAGGAGAAAGAGACAGAGGCCTTTTCCTGGAGTTAGGAATCACATTTTCCCAGTGCCTAAGCAGTGATAGCTTGTCATAAGGAAAATGCAGCTCTGTCTCCCCTTCCTCCACCCCTGGTTCTGTGTATCATGAAATATACAAACATCATATGGAAACCTAAGCTGTAAGCAGCAGAGGAAGCTGTGAGATAACAGCAAAGAAATAGCAAGGAGTGGAAGAGTTATTGGCCTCTTGAGGGCCAAAGCTCATGGCTGTCATTTATTTGTTTGTTTGTTTGTTTGTTTGTTTGACTTGTCCCCGCCCATCTCCCCACAACGGGGGACTCT